TTATGAGTCAGGAATTGAAAAACATGGAATAAGAACTGGACAAACAAGAAGAAAATGCAAAGCTAGAACTGAAAAATATAGGGAATAAATTCAGGAAAGAAAAAGGAAAAATCATGTAAAAAATTAAAACCACAGTACTAGCCACCCACAAGAATAAAGGTTAGAAATGAGAGAAGCCAAGAAAATAAAACAGAAATAGAGAGAAAAAAGGACCAGAGAGAAAGTGATAAATATGAAAGGCAGACAAAGATCCAATATACGTATTATTTGAGTCCTTGAAGAAGAAAAGCAAGCAAAAAGAAATCAAATAAATATTTAAAATTATAATTCAAAAAATTTCCTGAAATAAAAGATAAATTGAATTTACATATTGAAAGGCCCATCATGTGTCTGGGGAAATTGATTTAGATTAGTCAAATCTGGACATATGCTAGTAAAAATTTTAGATTTTAAAAGTCTTTCATGATTGGAAAGAGAAGTAGTATTAAAGTCTCCTATTATTAGTTTATTTCTGAAGTCTTCTGGGACTCTGAAAAACTATCAAAATCACTTACAAAGGGTAATCAAGTAGGTTGGCATCAGATTTCTCATTAGCAACATTGGATGAAAGAAAAGAGTGGAACAATATCTACAAGTTTCACAGGGCAATAAATTGTGAGCCAAATATGTAATGTCTACCTAGATTGTCCTTCAAGTGTCAAGGCTCTAGAAAAATAGCATTGAACATGAAAGAACCATGAAAATATTTTACTCATAAACATTTCCTGAAGAGGATGAACTTCATCCAAGAAGTTACAATGGGGAACCTTTGGCAAAAAGACTAGTGGTAAGCACTGAATACATTTCACTAGAAATTTAAGACCAAAACAAAAGTGAGAAGTAGGTAAACATTACAACCACTGACAAGCTAGAAATACCACAACCAAACAAAATGAGAGGCGAAGGAGAAAGAAGAAAATGTAAAATAAGCTCATTGAGTGCCCTGATGGTAAAAATTGGGAGTCAAATGACATAATTTAAACTGACAGACTGAAAGATAGAAGAATAAGATAGGTAGGAGTACAAAGATAAGCATTAAGGCAGGTAATATTATTAACTAAAATTTCATGGTGAAAAAGGGGAAGAAAAGAATTAGAAGCTAATTTGATTCTTGCTATAGTAAGGAACCAAAATGCGGTGTCTGAGGAAAAGGGGTAGAGATGAAGGGCATTATATAAAATTTTTTTGTAAAGATAACTGCTAGAAAAAAATACAAATGTACCTGAATACCAAAATAAAAGTGAAAACAGGGTCAAACAAACCAAAAACACACAGTAAAAAGGAGAAAAGAAAACATAACCTCATGAAGTACTTTAAGAGAGCATATTTAACATACAATATGTTAGTACTAAGAGAAAATATATTAGTTATATCAATAAATGTAAACGCCTATTGTAGTTTAAAATGAAAAAAGTGTTTTTTATTACAAGAAACAAAGGGGAACCTAACTCTACAATGTATAAAAAAGACATAACTAAAACAAAAAAAGATTAAAAGGTGGTTGAAAGATATAACAAGAAAATGGAAAAAGAAAAAACATGTGTCATGATCTAAGATACAGTGGAATTTAGATGGAAAATTATTAATTAAAAAATATGATACACTAGCATGCTACAGGCTAACTTACAGTAAGAATATAACGATTTATATGACTATCTGTGAAATGTGAATAGCTACGAAAAAAGTGAGACAGCAGCAATATTTGTAAAACAGAAATTACAAGAGATACAAGGAAAAACAGAGAAAATACCCTAATAACAGAAGACTTTAATACACTTCTCTTAATCCAACACACATCTAATGGACAGAAAAGAAATAAAAGTTTAGAAGACTTAAACAACAACACAATAAGGCAGACTTTTCAAAGTATATGTCAACTTTTGTACCCTAATATTCTTGAATATCACCTTCCTTTCACATTCATGTAGATCATTCATGAAAATTGGTCAAACAATAAACCATAGGAAAAACCTTAGTAAACTACAGAAGAGAAATAATAAAGACATCATTTTATGACCGTAAGATGATAAACCCAGAAGTTACTAATAAAATAATACTTAAAAAAACACCTTTCCTACTGGAAAATTAAAAATTCTCTACACAAAACAACTCCAATTAAAAACTAAGAAAACAAAATTTGCGTATTTTCTAAAAAAAGATTATGAAAATACCACATATCTGAATTCATAGAGTATTGCTTACACAGTGTTTGGGGAAAAATATATAGCCTTAAAATCATATATCAAAAAAACTGAAAGAATGCAGATAAATCAATTATGTTAGAAGATGAACAAAGTAAGCTGATAAAAACCTGAATTAATAAGATAAAAGCAAAATTTTATGAGTTTATAAACTAAGAGGGTTGATAAAACAATGAAATTTAGTTCCTTGGAAACAAAAGCACTAAGTAACAGAAAATTTCAAATGGGAGAAAACAAAATAGAAGAACTGAGAAATATCAGGAAGGAAATAACTATAGGAACAGAGGAAATCTTAAAATATCATAACTGGCAACTTTGCATAATTCTATTAAAATAAATTTTAAAAATCTACATTAAATAAATAATTTTTCAAGAAATAAAATTTAACAAAACTGATACTTGGTGAGCTGGATAATTTGAATAGTCCAATCTCTGGAAAAAATATTTTCAAAAAGCTACTCTACAAATGAGTACTAGAGCTATATGATTTCACAGGGGGATCATACTTAAATTTTAAAGTCCAGATAATCCCTAAAGTATTTAAATGGTTCTGTAGCATAGAAAATGGAGAAGAAGCTCCAAATTATTTTCTGGAGGAATTATAACATCGATACAAATACTTGATGAAATTGCACATACACACACAAAAATTACAGATCAGTTTCCCTAATGAATATCGATGCGCAAATTCTAAATCAATTTTAGACAAATCCAATGACATATTGCAAAATGAAATATGTCATGTCCAAATGTGGCTCCTTCCAAGGATGTAAGAAGAGTTCCGTATTAGTAATTCCATTAATGAAATTTACCATAAAAATCAGAAAACAGAATGGCACACTCATATCCATAGATGCTGTAAAGGCAATTTACAAATTTCAACACCCATACTTAATAAATGTAAGTCAATGAAAACTTCCTTAAAGTTATAAAGCACATAGAACACAACCCACAGGTCATCATTTGAATTAATGGGGAACACTGGTGGCATTCACATAAAAGTCAGGATCAAGGCGTAATGTTCACCACAATTTCTTTTTGATGATATTCTGGAGGTAATAGCCAGCACAATTAAAAAAGAAACTATTAGATGTGTAAGAATTGGAAAGGAAAATGTAAAACACTTTCTGTTTGATATAATCGGACTCTTGAAAAACACATGAGAGTCAATATATAAACCACTGCAAATTAAGAAAACTTACTAAGATGGTAGGATATACAATTAACATACTGAGAAAAATACAGGAGGCTTTAAAATAATCAGAAGACATAATGAAAGAGAAGATTCTATTTATAATAGCAGCAACAACAAAAATGTTAAATGCCGAGTAGCAAATTAAACAATAAGGAAAATTTTAAAACACTTCTAAAAGACACAAAAATTAGACTTAAAAATGAAAATACACATAATGTTCTTGTATAGAATAACTGAACATCATAAAGATGTTAATTTTCCTCAAATTCAATTATAAAATTAATGTGAATCCAATAAAATATCCAATTTTTTTTCTGTATCTAGACAAGTTGATTCTAAAGTTCATATGGAATATTCAGCAAGAAATAACCCCAAACACCTGAAAATTAATATCAAAGGGTGCATGTCATATCAGAGATTAATTGTATATTTAAAACAGTGTGATTTTAAATGATAAAAAGACCAACAGAATAGAAAGTACAGAAATATACGTAAGCACTTAAGGAAGGTTAGTACATGGTAAACACAGCATCTCAAATTACAGGTGAAAAAATAGACTTTCCAATAAATGACGTTAGCACAACTGGAGAGCCATTGATAAAATGATAAATTAAATTTATATCTTGCATTATAAACCAAGCTAAACCTAAAATGGATCAGAGGTACTAAAAAATAAAGCCATACAAGGTCTAGAAAAAAAATTGCATTTGTTTACAACTGTGGAATGGTGAAAGCTTTTCTAATTATAGCTCAAAAATTGAGAATCAACAAAAGAAAAGGTTGATAAATTTAGCCACATTCCAAAAACCCCCACCTTTACATGACAAAAATCAGGAAAAATATAAAAGACAAATTATTGGCTGGGGAAGCAATCTGTCATTTATTCTATAATTTGAAAAAAGACAACAAAAAATTGAAAATATATATGAGAAATGGACAATTGACAGAAAAAGAAATGCTTATAGTGCTTAAATATATGAACCTCATTCATACTGAGTAAACTAAAACTAATTGAGGTACTACTTCTCACCTATCATAAAGACAAAAATTGTGAAGCCTGACTCACTCTGTCCACAAGGCTTTGGGGAAAAGATCTAATACATTGCTGGTGGTAGTGTAAAATGGTTCAACCATAAGGAGGGGAGTTTGATAGTTTCTAAAAAGATTACATGTACATTTACCCTTTGACCCAGGAATCCCACTTACAGAACCTTACCCTGAAGATGCTTTTGTCTAAGAATATACATATACACATATGAGAACACATATGCACAATTCATTCTGGCGTTATTTGTAACAGCCAAAGTTTGGAATCAGCCTAAATGTCCATCAGTAGGAGACTGGTTGAATGCACTATGGTATATCCAAGTCAAATGGCTTTGAAATCAGCTTATCAATTGTGTAGGGCACCAAGGGTAACATCAGCTATGGCTTTTCCTTATCTAAAATTATTTTACTTACAATGCAAACATATTTTGAGAACTGAGTCAAAATGGAAAAGTGTATTAAAATTACTACAGTAGGACAACTTGACGAGCATTATGTACATGTTGCCTTTTACTTACGGTTTACAGTTTTGACTGGTAATATTGGGTTTACCCTCTGTGGGGAGGCAGCATTTTCCTCATCTGTCACGTGTTCAAAATTAATGATGAACATCATAGCCACTCCCTCTTGGTTTTTCACTGGAATTATGTGAGTGTTACAAATGAAAGTGGACCCTAAGGAAATGAAAAATGAGAGTTAGGTCAAAAGTATGTCTTTATTTTGAAGCATCAGTAATATTAAAATTCTGTGAAACCCTTATAGAATTTTCTATCTTAAATGACCACTGAAATTAAATAAAAAATAATTTTGTTTTTTATTTTATATTTTATTACACATATATTTACACAGAAATGTACAAATTTTGCCAGAAAGACTTTACTGGCAAATTCAGCTACTACATTATGGAAAAACAGAATATCAAACCTTATTTGTTTTCACATCCACCACTATAATAATTAGTATAGAAAAAAAGACATTCTTTAACTTTCTAGAAAAAACTCTTAGCCTTTCCCTATATATTTTGATTAATTCTGAATCTATATAAAATATAGCTTTATAAACAATGAATATAACTCATTTTGTGTCATCTTGATTTTAGCATTAAGCAAATTATTTCCTTTTTTTCCTTTCTTGGACATAAAATAGTAAATTATTGACTCTGTCTTAAATGTTCCAGTAATTTCTTCCTTTTTTGTGCAAAATTCAAAGTGCCCAAATTACGATGATTTTGTTTGGTTTGTAATCTGTCATAAAATAAGAACAAAATTTTATCTATATTATTGTGTTAATTTGATCCCTTCAACCAGGAAGATGATACTCTTTTAAAGGCAGAATTATAGGGCTAATAAAATACATTTTATTAGAATCTTCTGGAAATGAAGTGAACAGAGATAACTCAGTTTACAATTAATTAACACCACCCAATCTCTAACAGAAAACCTAAGAGCCAAGATTTAAAGAATACAGTCAAGAAGTTGGCTTCTTTTAAATCAACTGGCTTCTGACTGACTTCTTGGATCTGACTTCTACAACTGAACATTCCCTCAAAGTGGTTTTCTTACATCATTACCCTCTGAATATTTTCGTTAGTCATAGCGATGGAAATTTCACAGGTTGGGATTTGTCTAGGTTCAAAAGTACAGTTGTCCCCCTTTATCCACAGTGGAATATATTCCAAGACCCCCAGTGGATGCCTGAAACTAAGGACGATACTAAACTCTATATATACTACATTTCTTCCTATACATACATTCCTAGGACAAAGTTTAATTTATAAATTAGGTACAATAAGAGATTAACAATAACTAATAATACAATAGAACAATTATAACAACATACTGTAATAAAAGTTACCATGGATCCTAGCAACCTCAGCAAATGATTTTTTTTCTTTCCTTATTAAGTCAAGAACTTTCACCTTTTCACTTAAAGGAAGCACTTTAGGGCTCCTGTTTGACATATCCAAATTGTCAGCACCACTTCTCTTATGTTTTGCAGCCATTATCAAGTAAAATAAGGGTTACTTGAATGCAAGCACTGCGGTGCTGTGACAGTCGATCTGATAACCAAGCTGGGTGCTAAGTGACTAAGGGGTGGGTAGTGTATACAGTATGGACATGCTGGACAAAGAGATGATTCACATCCCAAGAGGGCTGGAGTGGGATGGCATGAGATTTCATCATGCTACTCAGCACAGTGTGCAATTTAAAACTTACAAATTGAAATGGAATTTTCCATTTAATGTTTTTGGCTGCAGTAGATCACAGGTACCTGAAACCACAGAAAGTGAAACTGCTGATAGAGGGGACTACTCCATTGTGTTTTTAAAACTCAAAAACTTAAGGAAGAGTTCTCAATTGTTTGGGCAATAGAGTGTATTTTGATTGCTTTCTTTTTTAACACTAGCTAGGAGCATCTTGAATCTTGAGGAAAGTGAGGATTCAATGTGCAATGTACAGGCAGGAGGAGGTTGGGAGCAAGGTAAGTCGGGCATGAAACTTCAGAGGGAGATGTGGGAAAGTGAGAGGACACCAAGAGGCTGGGGACAGGGCCACTGGCAAATAGCGAAGAATGTAGTTGGGGGCCTCAACACCAGCAAAGTCTAGTGGATGCTAGTATTCCAAAATGGTGTCCAATATATGCTCTGCCTACTAAAAACAAAATAAGTATGAGTAAACTTTTTCCTTTCTTCTCATCCCTGCAACATGGCTCCTGTCATCAGAGCTGAGAACAAAGGCTATTGCTAACATTGCTATAGACTGAGATATCACAGGTTGAAGAGCTTTTGAGGGTGGGCCCGGAGATCTAATTATTATTTAAGAAATTGTTTCCATGGGTGAACGTGTTCTAATTTCCAAGGAAATTACTTACAAGTATACTTGTAGAACGTAGACTTTTTGTAAATTGGGGATGCCTATGTGTGAGTTATGATTCATATTTTTAAACGTGGATAGCCTCACAGATTTGCAGTTTAGAAGACCTTATTTATAGCTATTTTCTTATTTTCTATAAGTATGGCCATGGTTTTACAGATGTTGGAAAGTATGTTTTAAGAATGACATGCTGCACCTTCACAGTCTTCAGCTATATTTTTAATTCATTTAATAAAATAGCTAGAGCACTTGTCATAGTTCCCATAGTAACAAACGGGCTGACTTTAGTAAACAGAAAATAAGCAATTTAAGCCTGTTTCATTAGAACTAAAAATAGAAGTGCCTCAGGCCAAACATCACAATACAAATTGGTTAAACAGAGAGTCTGAGGAGATGCTAGAAATAGCCATTATGTATTTTGCTAATGAACCAAAATACATATTGATTTTACCACTTAAAATGATGTTTCCGGGATCATTTAGAATATCATTGTGAATTCAAATATTTGTTACTTAGCAGCTTCAAATCTTTCAACATTTGAGGTATACTGATGATTGTACAACGAAACATAAAGCACAGATTTTTGAGAAATCAATAAATAAAAGATGTGTGGATAGAGATCTCATAGGTTTGTAATAGAGCAGAGTAATTTTGCTTTTGGTAATAAGGGACAAAATCATGTCTTTCAGCATGAATGCTTATAAATTTACTGTCTAGTGCCAAAAATCATAAATTATAGTGCTTTATAAAAAAGTGCAGCTATATGCATTGGCTCCATAGCATATGAATAAATGTAATTAATCTGGGATTTACTGCCCGCTATCATTGTTTCCTGCATGTTTCTATTAAGCAATATATCTCCTCTAAAGGCAACTGAAGACTCACATTTACATGTTTTTCTCTTTTAGTTTTTGGATTTAATGTCTCCATCAATCTTCCATAGTCTCCTGGAAAGCAGATATTGAAAGGAGATACATGGAATTTAGAAGAGGAGGTGAACCAAATATATTTCATAGAGCAGAAACATTTTAGCTTGCATAATCCTACAAACTCTAAGTTCTGTTAAAATACTACTTTTGTAAAGTAACATTACCCTAAGAAGTTATTACTGTGTGCTCCTAAATATTTTTCTTGAATGCAACTTTGGGAGCAAGAGAAATGGAAATATAAGCCATAAAACAATAATCCAGCAATGAAAAATACATAGACACATTTGATAATGCATAAATAAGAGAACTAAAAAAATCTAGAAATAAAAAGTTCAGAACTTTTAAAAGTGAATCTTGTATTCAAATGAAATTATGTTTGCTAAGAAGAAGCTTATTTACAATAACATTATCCAATAATTATACATGCAATTATACTTATATTAATTAGACTCAGGTTCATTTCCATGTTTTGTCTCTGGAGTAAAAACATTTTCAAAGTGGGAAAGACTGCTTAGGAGGAACAGTGCTCATTTTCATAAAATGTCTAGAATGTTAATTTTTAACCATAGCCACAGAGCAAGCAAACTCAGGGTAATCTGAATAATTACTCCTTTACTAATAAATTAGTGGCATACTCCCACCTGCATTTAAAAATAAAAGACCAGGACTCCTCCCTTTGCGCCTCTTTAAAGATATTTTATTCTACTGTTTGTATTCATAGGGCATCTTTATGGCCCCTGAAATCAACAAATGTTTATTGAGACCTAATATTGGGTCAAGCACTGTTCTGGGCTCTTAGATCAGGTGATGAGAAGACAGCAGTGAAAAAACAAATCAAAGTTCTGCACTTATGGAACTTGTATCCTACAAGGGGAGACACAATAAATAAACACATAAGCATTAATATATCAAGTGAAAATAAGTACCAAGAAGACAGAGAAAGCAGGATAACATGATAGATAATAGCAGTGGTCAGGGAATGTTTCTCCTATAAAAGCTCAAGAAACAGTGTGAGAGCCAGTGTGACTAGTGCAACAGTGTGGTGGTTGTAAGGTAGGATGGGGTTGGAGAGTAGGTAAGGTCAAAGGAGAAACTGAAAGCCACGCTGTGTGGAAGGCCAATGTATGAATTTGGAGCTTTCCTCTGGGTTAGATGGGAAAGCATTGGAGGGTTTTGTGCAGAGTTTGGCCTGATTTGACTTAAAAGTGTCCCTCTGACTTCTACGTGAAGAATAGCTTGTAGCGGAGGCCAGGATCGAAGCAGGGAGGCCAGTTAGGAAAATATCCCAATAGCATAGGCAAGTCATAAGAGTGGTTTAGATGGGGTGGTGTTGCTGAAGGTGATGAGAAGGGGTCTATTTGAGATGTTTTCACAGTAGAGCTTATAGAATTCGCTGATATATTGGATGGGATGCGAATGAATGAGAGTCCAAATTTGGAGGTTGAGGAACTGGGAAAGTGGAGACACCATTTACTACAATGAGGAAGACTGTGGGAGGAAGTGTTTTTGGGGATTATGTAAATCTATACGTTTTGAGTATGTTAAGTTTGAAATTGCCTGTAAGATATCCATGTGGTGATGTCTAGAAGGCAGTGGGATACAAGAGGTTGTAGTTCAGTTCGGGGATTAGTCCAAGCCAGAGATACGAACTTGAGGGTCATTAGGAAATGTATTATATTTAAAGACTGGATCAGGTTATCTAAAGAACAAATATAATTGGAGAAGTTTGAGGCTTGAGCCCAGAAGCACTGTAGCATCAAAGAAAGGAAGATGAAGAAGAAGCGGTGAAGATTGTGGAGAAGCAGATGGTGAGGTGGGAGAAAAATCAAGGGTGTAGTGCACTGGGGGCTAAGAGAAGGAAGTATTGCAAGA